AACTTATCGAATCGGCCAAATAAGCATTCGGTCAATTTTTAACCAGATGTCCCAAAATTAATGAAAACAGCTGTAATATCCGAAGTAAGAATTAAACTTCTTAAGTGAATAAACTTTTTTTAATTTACCTACTTCTGATGCTATCAATCTCCAGATACATTGTATTGGCTTATACTTTTTTCTTCCTTAGCGTACTTCCCGGACGCGGTGTGTCTCTTTTCAAAGTATCCATCTTTTATTTTTGAGCGAATCTATTAGGATAGAATATTTTAAATTATTACATACTTTAATCATTATGTAATGTTTAAGTGATATCATCAAGAAGGTAGATATTCTTACTGGTACGCACGCACTTCCGAAATGACAATATAACATATTTAGTAAATATGAGCGATCGAAAAGATTTAAATCATTGCATGTATATATCGAGACGATTACATGCATTTTACTTTATTTGTTCATATCTTGCTTAATGCTTAGCATAAACGCTAGATCAGATATATACAATTTGGGTGTCATTTTCTGGGAAATCACCAGTAGCAGACCACCATTTAATTCTTCTAGCTTTGGAGTTTTTTCAATTTCCAAACGCATACTTAAAGGAGAAAGAGAAGCTCCTATAGTAGGAATGCCACCTCGATATATCAAACTATACAAACAATGTTGGGATATTGAACCTGCAAATCATCCAGAAATAAGTTCTATTCTTGAAACCCTCGAGCAACTTGAATGAATTAGATTATAAAATTTCAAGCTGATTAAGCAGTGTAATGTCAAGTTTAGCTTCATAACTCTGCCTTGTTGGTAGTTTAAAAATTTGAGAAACGTATTGATGCTGTAAAAGAAATTTTTGGTTAGTAGATGTTTTGTTAATTTTTGGCTTTTACTTGTTAATAGAGACGACAATTTATATCGTATTTTTTTTTAATAAGCTAGATAATAAGTAATCTAATATTTTAGACTTTCTATAAATTATATTATTGTTTTTTTTTAATGTTACCTTAACGCTAGAATTCTTAAATTTTTTTCAAATTAAAATTTAAGTCTATATTGATGTATATATTAAAAAAAAGAAAAAAAATTTTAGTAACTTAGACCTGTATTAGGTAACTTAGATATGTATTATCACTAATAATTTCGAAATTCAAATTATCATAAGCATCGCACAAATTTAAAAAATAGTTTCAGCGAAGGTACAATTTAATTTCAAAGCATATCAAGAAAAAATTTAAGGCATAACAACAAAAATTACATCAAGCTTTTATCAAATTAATTGTTTTGTGGAGTTCTTATAGTTTTCGGAAATGATTTTTTCCAATTAGATTCCTTCGCTTGTTTTTTCATCGATTTGGCGACATTTTTGATGTTATTTATGCATTTCATAGTATGTTGAACAGAATACTATACTCGGTTTAGCATTTTGAATATTAATTATGCCGATTGTAAAAATTTTATACATACCATCAATTTTTCAAAAATCCTATCAATAGAATTATCTTCGATTTTAACAGGGATTGTGATTTCGTCAATTTTTCTAATTCTGTAAAGACCAAATCCAGGTTTGTCGAGGCAAAAAATTTTCATCTTAAACCCTAAAAATTTTATCAATTTTTATTAGAAATGTACAAAACTTTGATAAATAGTAGCTAGAAATTACCTGTTATTTGGACACCATAAATTTCTAAGTTTTTAAATGATCGAATATCAAGAAACGAATACTTCTTGAAAAATGCTTTAGCAATACGATCGTAAATGTCTTTGAGCATTCGTATTAGCTTTTTTCGATCTATAAATTATAGTATAAATTATTTTTTTGTCTTTAAAAAATTTAATTCACAAGTTTAATATCATACCTCCGTTAGTTTTATTATTTTTTTCTTTCCATGGTGAATTTGATACTTCACCTACTAAAAGTTCCAATTTTTTTTGAAATAGCTTAGCCTTCGACACAATTGAAAAGTCGGGTTTTCTCCCAATTTTTTTTCTTTTCTATTACAAAAATAATATTATAATAAACATTTGTGCGCATTTTTGGAATTGGGTCCAAATTAAAAACCCTGATTTACTATTTGATTAATTCAAATTTTTATGCTGAATTATACGTCAACAAAATGACGCATATATTAAATTGCACCCCAAATCAATAAAATCAATATAATTTTTACGTCAAACCCATCTCTTTTTTTTTATCATTAAAAACCTATCCTCTTTTATTATTAAAATTTAACTTTAAAATTATTCTCCGTATTTAATATATAGTATATATATAATTATATTTATAGTCAAATAATTTGACTTGCATCAATTAGTCTATCACATACTACGTCATAAATTTAGGGTAGTATAAAAAGTCGCGCTCATGGTTCAATAGAAGTTTTGATAATACTAAAATACCTTTGGAGTTGGGGTTTCTATTGATTTATTTTCGTCTACTTTTTTTTTTTTTCTTTTATTTTCTATTGATTCATTTTCATTCTCTCTTTTTCTTTTTTTTTTCTCCATCAATTTATTTTCCTTATCTGATTCGGAGCTGGAGCTTTCAGAATTTTTTCTTTCACTCGACGCTTGGCTTGATTTTTCTGGCCTGAACATTTAAAAAATATTTAAAAAATATATATATATATATAAACCGATTTAAATAAAATCTATACATTATAAGCATAGCATCAGCGATTGATCTTAATGAATATTTCAGTGGTATAGAAATGGCGTCCATTTGCCATGTTCCTTCATTAATTTCGGCCCTATATGTTTTATAGTCCTTTAATGTTCTTAACGATTGACTAAATATTGTTACAAAGTTAATTATTTTTTACTAGCATTTTTTTTAATTTAATTTATTTTTCTCTTTTGAATACTCACAAGTGATCCTTAATTAATGTGCTTTCCGATTCACTAAAAAAATTTTGATGTGATTTTTTATAATAACACCCGCTGGTGTCGGATATAATATTCCATTCATTGTATGAAAATTCATTTCTAATCCATCCTGGTGTATTTTCAGTATCAATGATTGAAGACCGAATCGGTTCATCATAATCTATGTTAAGAACCTCTTTTTGATTAAGTTTTTCTAAACATTTTTTTATTTGAGAATGCATTTCGATTTTTCGACTTCCCATGGATATGATCTTATGTTTTCTTTCTAAATAAAAATAGTAAAAAGTTTTTTATTAGGCTAAATTGTTTCTTCATTAAGTTAAGTCATTTATCTATTAACATAGAATGATAATTAAATATAATCTTACTGTGATTTTTTTGCCGAGAATTGATATTTTATGTTCAGAGGGGTCAGCGTCTTGATCTTTGGACTGAAAAAAAACAACCACATAATAATTAGCAATTTTATACTTATCTACAATTATTAATTTAAATCAAATATTAAACTCATTATATGAATTAACTATTCTAAGAAAAGAACGTAACCAATTTCTCTTCCGAAATTAGCAGACCTTAAAATAGAAAATTCGGGGGCCAATAACACACTACCGTAAGGTGACAAATGACCTAACAAGGACAAATGGCCTAAAGGTACGAGCAGCACATTATTGTAAATAGTACACCACCGCAAGACGCAAGTCACAGGTACTAGCAACATACTATCGTAAAATAATAACGAGTTAAGCGTGAAGCTACTAGAACTCCACTAGAAGCAAAATTAATAGTATCCCTGGAACTTTTACTATTATTAATTTCCTTTGGAAGGCTAGGAATTCCCAAATTAACAATACTACTATATAACGTCGTCTTATCATCATATATTATACAGTATATAATAAATGAAACTGTAAATACTTAACTGCTTTTTTATATTTTTTTGTTAAAAGTCTTCTGGTCAATTAAAGAGGTATAAAGGCATTGCAATAATCCAAGTTTATAAAATTCAAAAAATGTTTTTTCCTTTTCTTCGTTTTTTGTCATATAACATGTAGTTCTTGAACGTCCAGGAGCTTGAATCATTACTTGTAAAATATGGAAACAAAGTTCTATATAAATGTTTTTGTTTTATTGTGTAGTTTTCAAGAAAATCCATGTCGATATTAGATAAAAACGATCACTAAAGCTACCAAAAAAATACTTTTTAACATTTTTTAACAAGCATACGCGTATATAGGATAACTTTCTCGTGATTGGTAGATCACATGAAATTGAATAATATGTTATGATTGGACATTTGCGCAACA